CAAGTCTATGGCATAAACATCGTAAAATCCCTTACATTTTAAAGCCCATGTTTTTGAACACAAAGACATCTCTCATATACAGCCCTGGCAAACAAAACAAGCCGCCTTTTCAAGAACCGGCGTTAGCACTGGACAGCATCCCACTCTCTGCTTGATCCCTAATCAAAGACGGTCACTTATGGCCAAGCGTGTGAACGGAAAAACATCACAACTTCACAGTGCGAGTGATCAAAAAGAGATTTACAGCCTCGCTAAAGCAATAAAAAGTTATCGCTTTTATGCATCTGGTAATAGTCAGCAGTGATTTTTAGCATGGTACAAATATTACTACCACTGTCGAGCGCTTTAATGTGGAAAGATCTGCCAACTGGGAGCTGTTACATCAGACATGACCTCTACGTTTTTAACAGTCATGCTAATATTTGCTTCAGTGCGTCAATTGGAAAAGCTGAGATGGAAAATACAATTGTTTTTCCTCTTTTCTGATGCATATAGATACAGTGGTCTGCAAACGTTTGGGCACACCAATCAATTGTTATGATTTTAATTTATAAATCATTGGTTGTTTGCATAAGAAATGTCAGAAGTGAAATAAAGTTTGTATTATTCATGGGAAGTGCGCAAGAATTATCTAAACCAATATCAATACATTTCAATACCTTTAGCAATTATTATTGGAACTCACAATTGTTTTTTTTAACCCAAACTTGCCCACAACTTTTGCATACCACTTTATACAAGATGAAGCATGTCTTTCAACACAACTACATAAAACCAACATTGAAAAGACTAAAGCCCAACGCACACCGAAACGCCTTGACGCGCGGCAAAAGAGCCGCCTCCTTTATTTTCTATGAGAGAACGCACACCAAGGTTGCAGTGACGCGCGGCGACGCTGGACCGGGCGCCACGATTCAGTTTTGTTGAATCCAGACGCGGCGCCGCGGCTGAAACTGTCCCTCCAAGCACCCGTAGTTTTCTTCTTCTGCGCTTCTTATCACGTAGCTGTGAGCGCGGTCTCAAATTTACACACTTGTCGGCGCTATTGCTCAAGTAAACCGGTCACAATGGACGAGGAAAGCTTGATAACCCAAGTACAGCGTTACCCAGAGCTAGTTATTAGCCTGTTTAAAAAATGGGTCCAAATAGTCTTTTCTTGTAATATTTGCCAGCATAATTTCACGTAAATACTTTGTTTCCTCCCCCAAAATATTAGTAGAAACTTCCAAACGTCACTCACCCATTTCATCTGCGATCAGCTGGAAAAGGACGCTAGCCAAGGCGTTCCGGTGTAATTTGACACATGTCATGAACGCGCGTCAAATGACGCGCCGCGAGGCGCTGCGTTTCGGTGTGCGGTGAGCTTTATGTGGCCATGGTTAAAGATAGAACGTGTTTGACAGAGATTTTTCGCTTCACTCAAGGAATCTCTATAAACAAAATGAACTGATAAATAACCAGTAGAGCGTAGGAGAAACATTGTCAGTGCACTGGAGGAGCCCCTCATCCCTTAACTTCAATAAACAGTTGTGATCAGAGTTATTACATGTGTTAAAGGTTTGGCGAAAACACATGTGGAAAAAGACTGGTGCTCAGTTAATTCGGGCGTTCTGCTCTCCCAAAATTCCATCCACTGAGCGGCGCTGTGATCAATAAATGACACCGTTTGTTGCCCAGTTCACTTCCGGTTGATTTCATACAATGGCGAATATGGCTCACGAAAACAACAAGCGATTGACAGTGCCTGAATTGCGTGAAAGGTTGAAGCGAAAGGGTATTTGCAGTGTGGGAAAACGAAAGGAGGAATTGTTGTTGCTAGTTCAACGAGCGGATGGTGTTTATGAAGATTTAGAAGAAGATGACAGCGAGCAGAGTGAACGAAAACCCACCGCACGCTTGACATCCACGGATATTGACTCAGTTTTTTATTGCTGTTAGATCGACAATTAGCGGCGGCACACTTGAAGCCCATGATAAAACCGGATTCAACAGAAAATGACGAAAACACTCAACCATTTAGAGAAAATGCGCCGGGCAGAGAGAACCGGAAGTTGCGAAGGCAAGTGTTACCCATAATGCAACGCAAAATTCAGTCGCTCCCCCGCCCATCGGATGGAATTTTGGGAGAGCAGAACGCCCGAATTGCAATGATAACAAAAATTGTCAGCCCATAGACCAGGACTAACTTGTGTCCATCTGCTCAATGAACCACATCAGCAACTTTGATCTGGTCCAGTGCCCGTTCTGGACAGAACAGACCTCTTGTTTTTAACTGTTGTTCAGGTTCAATTGTTTAGTTTTTTTCTTAATTGCTCAAAAGGAGTGGGCTGAAGCAAGAAGCTAATGAGCAGCCCCACCCCCAAACTCAATACAATCAAACTTTTCATATCACATTTATATAGTACAGAACAAGAACCCAAAGCACACAAACAAACTACATCTGCACATCCTGGATTATGAAATTATCAACCGTCAACAATTTAACAGAATAAGGAAGAGATCATACTTTCAGAAATGTATTATTGAGAGAAGCCTCACTGACCAGAGAGAGAGAGCAGAGAGAGAGACCACCATAATGAATTGTGGTACATTACATGCTAGTACTGTCTGGTAGTAGTTAAATGCTGGGTTAGCTGTGGTATAAATCTAAATAATAGTTTTTTTTTGTGATATCAATGAGTGATTAAAATGGTGGCTGTGAAATTCATTCAAGCGAGAGCACATGATCCCTTGTATAAAGATTGGATTTCCTGGGGATCAATAAAGTATATTTTTTATCAATATAGAAAGCAGCTACATTTAGTTAAGAATACCATATGGAAAAGTTAAAATTATACCTGGATAGTTTAAAATGGTTTCTGAAACTTCTGAATGAGATTATTGAATTTATACAATTTAGAGATACAATTTATACATTGTTTAAAGCCTTCTTTGTTTCTTCAATTAGTAGGTGACCGATGTTTAGCTTTTCATACAGAATTCAATGAGATTCCTCAAAAATGTCAAGAAAAATAGCTGGAACAATTTATATGCTCCAATAGAGTTTTTATTTGCTGCTCACCGACTTCTCTTGCCAACGTAATCTCTTATTATGCCTTTGGACAGCGTTCAAAAGTCAAATTAGCTCATAATGAAGCCTTAACAAGCTGCACAAAGCCTGTACTGTCCCAGGGCCGGGCACTGGGCTGGTCCCTGTCCAAAACTCTGCTACAATGAGGGCTATTCTGGGACGAGCACTTTCGGGTCTCTGGGCACATGCATAATGGGCGATGACAGGCCATCAGAAGCGACTGTTGGACCAGTGGAGCAGGAGTGAAGCCAGAGGACGCCCAGTCGGCCTTATCTACCCAGGGAGACAGGCATGGCTAAGCACATACAAGGGCTTGGACACTCTATCAAACATAATGGAACAGTCCTCTAAACAGGACAGAGCCAGACATTTAGCGAAGGCACAACTGCATCGCTCATTCATTATGCTGATGGATGTACCAAGGATTACATGAATGGTGTGTGCTTGAGTGATTAAAAAAACTATTTTACTTGATATTTGATACATGCATATACAGTAGTAAATAGAAGTACAAGAAAGCTCTCAGGTGCCTTGAAAATGCAAATGCAATACTTTTTTCTATTCTGCCCAGTTACTCACTGGATCACATTAATCAATTCAATTCAATTATTTTTGTATTTCCCTAAATCATCTACAGCAGTTATCTCGGAGGACTTTATAAAGTGGTCACCAACAACAGATCAGAGGATAAAACACAGGAAATGTAATAATAACAAACACATTGGAGCCATTGGTCCATAGGGAGCAGGATGACCAATATCCATAAATATCTTAAAAATGTCTCGGATCATCACTGCCCTTAGACCAACTCAAAGAAAAAAGAGCAGTGAAAAATTAGAAGCCATGAAAATTCAAAACTGTAGAAGAATTTTATAAATGGTTTATCATCATTTCAGCAAACAATAGATTTAAAAATAAAAATACAAGGCTATAACTACAACAATTACTTGTAAACACAGAAAAAGAACAAATATATGTACGGTACTTTGTGGAGTGTTGTTTGCTTTTAATGTTCTATTCCATGGAAGTGAGGGGTTTTGACATACGCCATCGTTTCTTTAAAGCTTGGTAACGATGCCTTTTGTGGCCTGGTTTGTTCACAACATTTTACTTTGACAAGACTCTTTCTGTTGCTACAAACATGTGTTATTTATTAAACTAAAATAGTTTGGCAGCTTTATTATCAGTATTGGATCAGTAACACAGTATTGGCGGTGTGGTAATTTTCTGCCTGAACACATTTGGCAACTGCTAATGTGACGCAGGGCTACTTCAGAAATACATAGAATTGTATCAAGAATGTAATAGTCAATTATTTGTGTTGAATAGAGTTATTGTCAATGTTATTGTAATAACGTTCTAAAAAGCTTTGAACGGCACGGTGGCTGAGTGGATAGAACTCTTGCTTCTCAGCAAGAAGGTCCTGGGTTCAAATCCCGGTTGGATTGGGCCTTTCTGAGTGGAGACAAATGCCCACAATTGTAAACCGCTTTGTGACTCTGGTCTGTGAAAGGCGCTATATAAATAAAGATTACTTACTTACTTAGTGGAGGCAACAAATTTGGATACAGTCTTTGCATTTTTAACATCTTCATTATCAGTATTGGATCAGTAACTTACTGGCCACAGCAGCAAGACGCTTATCACATCACAATATTAGCCCAGAGTAATCATCTCTATCAGGCTAAGCTCATATAAAACACGGTTCATACGACACTGGGTTTCTGTCATGAGAGCTGCCCTTTGAGACTCTTCATGTCTCCACATTCCTGACGGAGCCTCTTATCAACACACCGTAATATCAGCACAGGGCCATCTCTGTGGGGCCAGCGCACTCACAGCAGCCATTGTGCCTCCCTGAATGCAAGGACATGCAACACAATGTAGGGCACTGCACAGATCATCATGTTTTCTCACTTTGTCCCCGCAGTTCTGCCGACACGGACGCCGCAGCCAAGTCCCCCCATCTCCGACAATGACAGTGAGTTCACGGACACTCCATCGGCTTCAGACTTTCAGACTAAATTGTTATCAAGTCTGTGTCTTGTTTAAGAAATGAGAAACACATCTCTACACAGTTCATTTTGGTTCAGTTCTGATAAATGAGTGTGTCTAATAAGTGATCTGGGCTTGGATTTTAGCGCATGCTGTACTTATTTGAGTGCGATTGTGGCTTGATATCTATGAAGGCTTGGACCTCATTATTTAGATGACCGGCTCATGAACTTCGGAACATTTAAATCATATGTGTTTTGGAAAGTCTCATTGCTTGGTCTCTATGTATATATTGTTATTCAAAGACATTAGGTGAGTAGCATATTGTCTATTATTTCTGGCAGAACAAACGCAGTTTTAGCAGTCATATTGACTCCACAGATTATCTTTTTCAGGATGCTCCATTATCCACAAAAGCCTCATATAGCCATAAACAAATCTTATGCATTTTTTTTGTTTCAATGTTCACATTGGCATTATAGAGCTGTCGAATCCTGCCCACTTTCATTGTCCCCAAAGTAAAATTCTTGAAAAATATTATGATTTTGAAGGCACAACTGTGGATAACTTGGACTATTATTACTATTGTGACTTAGGGATGATTTTAAAAAAATATAGAATTTTATAAAAAATGCTAAAAAAGCCAATTCCTAGTTTGTGACTTTGTCTAACTTACAATGGCAATACAATAAGTCTTATTCTAAAACGTACATTCTAAACAAATTAATCAGTGAAAAACTCTCCAAACATGTTGAAATACTGGTGAATATGTTGTTTTCCTGTGTGTAACTCCTCCTGCTTCTTCCAGATGCTGTGTACGTGCTGGACACTCCCACAGTGGTGGGCATTGCTTTCGCCGCATTTGTGATCGGAGCTCTTTTGACAGGGGCTTTATGGTTCATCTACTCCCACACAGGTAGGTCCTAACCCCCCCTTCTCCCCCGTCCATCCATTCAGCCTTTGCCCTTTTAATTAAATTATAAGCACACAAGCATGTCCGATTGAGCCAGCGCCAGAAAGGAGCTGCACATCCTGCCCTCGCTCCACAAAAACAGCGCTCCTGGTTCAGAGTAAATATATCTGCGGGGCTTCCTGCCTTTGAATAATTGGGAGGTCCACTGGAGGGTGAGTGGTCAATATTCCCAGTACAATGTGCAGATGGAAAATCCCTGTCGGGGTTCACAGGAAGCGCCACTAAATCTGCCCAAGAGGTGCCAATGAACTCTGCTCTCACTGACCAGGAGTTTAGAACAAAAATTATGCATTGGTCGAGGTTGGGGGCTGCAGAATGTTGGCGAAATATCTTACTGTGATATTTCTGACTGGTGTAATTGAGATGGGATTATCTGGTTGAAAAACACTGGTAGTGGACCGGCATAGCACAAGGTGAAACACAGGATAGGCACAAAAGAAAACTTGAGAGGCCCTTGATACTTATCTTTTCCCACTAAATTCTTATCAGTCATTCAACAGACCTGAGTTGTGCAACTCATTTTTAGTGTTGATATAAACAACAAAAAAGATTACATGTCTCCTTCAGAATAAGTAAATAATCATGGTATTCTTGCCGACAACAAGATGAAAAATTCTGTTGACAATTAAAAAAAATATATACTCAAATATACTCAAATCATAATAATAACATAATACAGTACATACACAAAGAACTTACAGTGTTTGCTATTTTCTAATGGCCACTATTTTGATACAATTGTCATGGATCGTCCAGCTCTACATTAAGGTTAAGGTATACTCTATTTACTACTTTTGTCACGTTTTCTGTTGTAAAACTTGCGACAGCTTAATGTCAGCTTTGTCTAACAGAATTAAAGTTCAAGAAAGAGACAAATAAATATGCAGTTGTAAAGAATACAAATTTACGGCCGAAATGCTCCATATAAATCAGGGGAGAACATAATGAGCCTAAAATGGTGACAAAGACCTCCGTAGAGTCAGCACAGAGCACTCTGGGTTACTATCATAATACTATTATTATTATTGTTAAGAATGGTCCTGTAAAATAAAAAACAACTCCAGGTATGTTTTGACGAATAATGGTTAACATGTTTGCATGATATCTGTTTTTCCTAAAGCAGTGGTGGTGATTGATTTTATATCAGTCATAATAAATGGTAGTATATGAGGCTACAGTTGTGGTGGAGGCAATCATTTCATTTGTAGCAGGAGTATCGTTTTTGGCAGTCGTGGCGACGCCTTATCTCAAATGTCTAATCTTTATAACAATATTGATGCTGGCCCTGCATTAAAAGCTGTTGTTACAATAATGTAAGAGGTTTTCCTGACCAGGGCAAGAGAAAGAAAAACAGCTTCAAAATACCTACAATCCTGACAACAAAACCTATTTGTGTGGATTGAATGCCCGGCTTTGAGACCGCTGTGGTGGAATCTATCGAGTTCATGAGTTAAGTTAATTTCATGTGACTTTATTACATTAAAACATTCCATAATAGATCAATTGTATTCTATAAAAATTCCACAAATCATTCAATTCATTCAATGTCACTCTGAATCTTATATCCCATGATTCACGTCCATATACAGTAGTTTATCTATGACTACAAAGTTAAAAGTGCAGTTTTTTAAAGTAACTTTGCACCGACAAATGTGGCAAAACAAGTCAAAACATGTATATTTATTTATTTATTCTGATGTCTATAAATATGTCTATGTCTTAGAACAAAGCCAAAAATACTTTGTAATGAGTTATGTTTATATATTTGCATTTTCCACTATATACTGTAAACACAGAAGGCAACATGCATGACAAGTAATGTAAACTAAGGAATGTAAAGATTGTAAATATTTATGGTTGTAAACTTTCTGCTTGAATGAGTAAAATCAATGAATCAATCACAGCAATAATACATTTTATTTCTACTCTCATGGTCGCCTTACATATCTAGTAAAAAGTACATTTAAAGACAGTTAAAATACAAAGTTAAAAACAGAATCTCAGGACCAAGTGATTTATTATTCAGGGTTTAGGCATTTCTAGCTCCTCAGGCCAACTGAGGATAGTCTTGTAGTGTTGTATCGTAACATGGCAACATTTCACCCTGACACACAAATAAAAACTCAAAAACCCTTTCCTGTGATGCCTGTGATGGACCCGGCTGTTTTAGCATGACGCATTCTCATTAATGTAGCTAAAATGGTTCTTTGCAGTGGGTTTGTTTCCTTATAAGGCCACTGGGGGTATAAATAGTGTAAAAATCACCCCCATGGTATATTATTGGACATTCGGATTGCTATCTTGGTATGTTTGTTTGGCTCGTGTGCGGAGCTGCAGACACCTGCCAAGAGGTCGACTCACATGTTTAACTAATAAATTAAAGCTGTTTGAACAAAGCAGCTTCATTTAAGATGGAGGATTTGAGGTTCCAAGAGTGATTTGATTTTCTTCTATGGTGAAATAACAAGGAGGAAAAGAGTGGGGCCATGGTCTGAAAGAAATGAATATACAATGAAAATACTATGATTTTGTAATGTTTCCATATAAAATGAATTGTACCTACAGTGTTAGGGATTTGGGTTAGGACCACTCCCAATATTTACAGATTTGTCAAGCCTAGAATGTTCAGTGTGAGAACTTTAGTGGTTCTCACTCATGCTTGCACATACATTTGTAGAATATAGATTTTCATTTTAATATCCTTGTCTCTTAAAGTCTATTTTGAACCACAATCAAAGTTATTTAGACCAGTCAACAGAGTTTAAATGTTCGAGCCTTAAGCTGGTGTTCTGTCACCCGTGACCGAATAGAGCACATGTTCAAGGCGCACGCAACCCATCGCGCCACATAAAGCGAGTCTTACCGGCTGCCTCCTCAGCATGTAAACTAACTTTAGTGCGCTCTCGTTTATAAAAAAAAAATCTTCTCTTTGATTTCGATGCTCAAGAAGAAAGACGTAATTTTGATCAATTTCGTATAAAAAACAAAATTGTGACATGCCAGAACAGCTTGGTTCTGTTATTTGTTCTCACATGCATGTATTTCTTGGCTTCTGTCTTTTCTTTAAATCAGCTTTATCAGACAGAAAAGAGAAAAACAAACAACATGTATTTTTGTATTATGAAAAATGTATAAATTGGATACCTCCGTTTTTTTGGGCGACAGTAGCTCAGTTGGTAGAGCATTGGCCTTTGGGCCTGAAGGTCGTGGGTTCGAGCCCACAGTAAGACCTACTTCATGACTCCCGCTGATGACTGCTGTCGTTGTGTCCTTGGGCAAGACACTTAACCCCACTTTGCCTGAAGCCCCCACTGAAAGATCTCAGCTCCTGTGGACTCACCACCTGCAGGAGGATCAGTGAGGGGCTGGTGCTCTGTGTTCTGGGTGCAGCTCTGATTGCCACCCCCCCGACCCAGAAATGGATTAAGGGGAAGAAAATGGATGGATGGATGGACCTCCGTTTTAAGCGTGAAAGCCTAGTCCAATCATGAGCATTCAAACATAACTGGGGTACATCCCAAACTGTATGGCCTGCATGTATCACATATTAGCGTCACACCCAGAGGCCGTCGGGGCTGCTCCTTCCATTGTGTGACAGATGCTTTTCGTAAACAAACCGGCACTTTTCCGTTGATCCCTGAAGTCTCTCAAATGAAAAAGCTTATTTAGACACAGAACAATAAACGGCACAGTGCTGCGGTCCAAGTCGGAGCGGCTCGACGATGATTGAAAACAGATAACACTAGAAATGAACTCTGTAAAAACAAAAGGGGTTCCCATCTGAGGGGACAGCGCCTGTGTCTCTGCGCAGATCGGGTCAAACAGCCAGATGTGAGCAGCTGGAGGCAATGTGTGAAACTCCAACAAGACGGTAATGTGGGTCTGCTGTAGATCTTTGTGTAAACTGAAGAAGTTATTACGGCAAATGATTAGGTAAAATGGAATTAGGATTAGTGATTTATCAGACAGATTCTATGTGCTTTTGTGATATTAGACTTAGACAGAATTTATTGTGTTGTCCCAGTAGCTTGCATAGTATTTCACAATAAAAACAATAAAAATAACATTAAAGTAACAATCTGAAAATAAGAATAATAATAATAATATGAAACTATGTCACAATAATTTCTCGTCCAGGCCCAATTTTCCATTCAACTAACTTTATTTTTGTATGCAAAGTAGTCGATTTGGCTAAACAGATCAGACAATCAAAAAGTTCAAACACAGGAAACGTGAGAAAAGAAGCTCAACCAATTCCCCTAAATGTTAATAAAAATCATTAATTCTCCTGGATCTGAACGTTTTAATCTCTGTAAAAGATGTGGCGTGTAGTTTTGCATGAGAGCCCTATAAAATAAAAAAATCGATTAACTTGGTAATTGAGCAGTTTTAACGTTGCCTGTGAAATTAAAAAGGTCAAAAATATAATCACAATCTCCACACTCAAAATTGCAAAGTATGTACTTTTCTTTTCTGTTTTGTCCGAGTGAAAGCCATGCCATTTAAATTGTTGTCTGTTGTGTGGTGCAGGGGAGAGCAGCAGTGGTCCTCAGCCTGTGCAGAAGCCTCAGCCTCCGGCCTCAGAGAACAGCAGCGCAGCCCCCAGTATCGGCAGTACCCAGAGCACCCCGTGTTCCAGCAGCAGTAACGCATAGCACCCCTCACCCCAGCACCCAAGGGACCACGCAAGACCAAACCATGAGCAAGTCTGACCAGAACGACTCAACAATTGCTCACTTACAGATACTGCTACAAGACATGGACTGCAAATTCATGGGGAAACAAATCCTTATAATTTCTTGTACGCTAAAATTGACCTTTAGACAGGAAGTGAAATTCAAGACCATATTAGGACTTTTTAATAGCACTTATTACATACAATGCATTTGTATGCCACCAATCTCAAAGAAGAAATGATAAGAAAGAAGAAATGTTTTATGAATTTGAATACAACCCAGGACTTAAGAAAGGGCCTGTAACCAATTTTGCCTTACCAATCTTTAAAACAGATGAAAAAAAGTAGCCACAATCCATTTTTTATAATTTCAGAGCCCAGAAGGCAGTTTGCGAGACAGACAATAACATTCTTTACGATGTAAATTAAAGTGAGTGTCAGTTTTTTCTCAAATTATGAAGAGGGAGTGAACATTTTTTAAGACATGGACTGGCTAGACCCGCCCACGCTCAGCCCTGCAGCTTCCTGATTGGTCAAAATGGATTAGAATCCTTGGGGTTTCCGTCATTGGTTTAACTATCCTATTGGTCATAGAGTAGTTATGCCAAGCTAAGGGACTTGTTTAAAAAATATAATTTTATAATCTTGCTGGACATAATAGTTCAAGGTCACATGGTCAGAAATAGCACTTTGAGATGTGTTCGCATATGTAAGGTGCATTATAAATAACATATATTATTATTAGGATTAAATATACAATCTTGAATACAATTTAGGTAGCTGACATAAACAAGATCTCTTTACAACATCAATGACTTGTATGGCATATATTCACTGGAGAAATGCAAAATTGGATGCAGGCTCTTATAATGGCTATCAGAATATCTAAATCTACATCAGGACAGATTTGACGACAGACCAAACTTTCGTTTTCCAAACCCCCAACAGTTGTTTTACTGACACACACCTTCAAGAATTTACACTCTTCAAATCCAAATGCTGTTTTCTCCTGCCTTGTTTTTTTTTTCTTGTTTTGCCCGTACATGGACTGGTACAAAGCCCGTAAAAAAACTGGCGGGGGGCATCCAAAGACACGAGGACGTCTTGGCTACGGACCAAAATGCATTACCACAAAACATGCAACCACTATTATCGACTTTGCACGCATTAGAAGAGTGTGTTCGAACTGAATGTACGCCAAATGTGAATGTTAAATGTGAAATAGATGCTGAAACGCCGCAATTTCAGCCGTTATAATGCGAGACGTGATGGAATATGTGATAGGAAGGGTTCTAGATCCACATGCTGTAAAGGTTTTTGTGGTTGTAAAGCAAGGGCAGTGGCACCAAGCTGCTTCATGTTCTTTGAGAGTTGGTAAACGGAATAGTTCAACATTTTGGGGCTTGGTTTGTCCAAAAATGATGTTATCAAAGCTTGCGCAAACATACTCAATTGTCATTTTTAGCTATATCTTTTGAGATTTTGGCTGGGGCTTTAGCCAATGATCGTGGCTTCATGATTCTGTCGTGAACTAGAAGCCGACCACTTAGTTCTGAAAGCTGAAGATGTGTCATTTTCATAATTTTCTGCAAATAATGTCCTCAAAAAAAGGTATTTAATATTTGTAACTGTCATGTGGTTAGATGACAAGAGTTCAAAGAAATGCTGGTTTAAGTATGGATAATAAACAAAAGTCCAAGGAAAAACCACACTCAAAAACACACTCTAACATACTAATATACACGGACAAAGACAATGGACCAGCAACACATGAGAATGAGCACAGGTACATATAGACAGAGACACAGGTACATTTAGACAGAAACACAGGTCCATATAGAAAGAGACATTTAGGGCGGGGCAGACAATCATACAGGGGAACTGGACAGGTAGTAAAACTAAAATTAAACCATAGAACTAATAAAAAATGAAAACCAATCAACAAATAATCCACACCATGACAGTAACATTGTGAATACTTTGAATGAAACGTTATTGGGGAAAAAAGTTGATTCATTTATGGCACTAATAAACTATGCAGTGACGTAATTAACACAAGACCAAAGAATTTGACTTTTTGGATTCTGTTTCTATAACGTTATCAACCACTAAGTCATTCAACTTTTCCATGTTTGGTGCTTAAATGAATGACAGAATTTTTTTCAAAACGTGGAGAGATGATATTTTGTGCCTATTGACATGAGTGTTCTCCACATCGGTACATCCAGCTACACTCATTTTACTGGTGTTGCTATGGCTCCAATGGGAGGAACCATATTGCCCCTTTAATAGTGAAAATGAAATGTACCTCTAGAGCCAATTATATATATTTACTGAATGCAATCAGCCAGATCTAAATTACCTCCTGTATTTCTTAAACTGGCTTTTGTCGCAATACCCTCCAAACTCCGAAATGTTGAACGATTCCTCACAGCGATTTGTACATATATGTGAATATTGTAAATACCAAACAATGTTAATCGGCATAAAGTGTGTTTTATACATTTGTCCAGAAACCAGAGGGCAATCTCTACAACTGTTTGTATCATCACATATGAAGCTGAGGCTCTGTCCACATTCATGCATTTTTAACTTAAGACTTAATGCCCTTAACTTATTGTATGTATTAATGACAAGCTCACACTACCTTATGTCATAAAACTTGTAAATATATATAAATAATATTAAGAGACGAGCTGATAGTTTTAATCTCCAAATGCATTAGTGTGGACCATGGGCCTCTTTCGTCTTTCTGTTGTGTTCTGTTCACCAGAGTGTTACAGTTGAATGAATGTTATGTCCAATATTTTGCAATCACTAACTTAGAGAGGGACAGACTGTAAAGCAGAGGTCAGGAACCTTTTTAGCTGAGAGAGCCAAAAAAACGTGTATTCTGTGGGAGCCATACATATTTTTGTTACTGTGACTATGTGTGATTCAAAAACAAGATCAACACATTTATAGTGAGATATTAGTTTACTTTTAATTAGATTACTTTTGCCTTCTTTCGTTGAATAACATGTTTATGCTGAAGAAATCCAGGGCATAAAAGATTCTTACTATGACTATGCCAGACACAATCATTAAAAGAGCCATAGGTTCCTGACCCCTGCTGTAAAGTACCCTTCAGTTTTTTTTATTTTTTTTATTTTTTTTATTATTGATTGTACACTTGTATAGAGCTTTCTACAGAGGGAACAGAGTATAGATTTATATTTGTTTATAAAATATATTTTTGAGTATAAATGCCCAGAGGAATTTATTGTACCGTGTAGTTTGTGTGTGTGTGTGTGTGTGTGTGTGTGAACGTGTGGGGATAGAATGATTTTAATGATTTGGTTTTGAACACTATCTACGTTGTGTGAATTTTAAGTCTTTTTTATGTATACAAAAAGGAATTGCCCTGCGTTCAGAATTGTTTCGTCGGACACAAATTGTTAGCGTTGCAATCATTTCAATCAATTTAACTTTATTACATACTCTCAACCCACGTTTGTATTTTTTTATTTTTTTACTTTTGTTACAGAGACTTTTTTCTTGGGTCCATCTAAATGAGGGGTTTCCAACCTTTTTCACCCATAGAGGCCCTCCTTTTAGCAGCCCTTGGAAAAATGAATTGCTATAATAGTGAGAACGAGGCTGCAATTTTTTTTTACTTTTTATTTGATTCAGTAGAAATATTTACATTCATATATATTTACAACTTTAGCTAAAAATAGAATGGGAAGAAAAAGAAAGAAATCTCAACGCATTAACAACAATTTTTTTGGCTCAAATTATTGGAACATTGAAGTTATATCCAGTTGATTTTAACATTTCAATTAAGCTAAAATGGCGTCTTTGTTAACATCACTTTTGTTATTAGTGTAGTTTTGCGATTACGATGTCAATACTACATTTATTACGTATTAAAGTTTACTCGCTTAATATTGCTACATGACCTTATGTTAGAATTGAGTTTTCTGTGCAGCAAACACAGTTAGGAATCAAAAAATGCTCATTTTTTTTGTTTTTTTGTACATTCCAAGCAAAGACATGTCATATCTTCTGGCCGCATCAGAAATGTTTTGTAATACACTTTTTAATTGCACCATTTCAGCACAAGTGAAGTAATGCACAAGTATGAAATCCTTATAACACAGACTAATCTAGAAGTTCCCAATAGACAACAATTAAACGCATTTTTGTATTCCCCTCGAAGAAGCATGGGTAATTCTATTCCCTTGTTGACAGTTCGACCAAAAGCATGATTAGAAATTGGACTAAACCTTATTTATTTTCGAACAGAGCAAACTGGCGCTGCTCCAAGAGTCTGCTTATTGTGTTTCTGGAAACTCAACTGGTTTCAATAAGCCTCTCCAAATACTTTTTATTGAATTATATTAGAAACAGTCAGTCAGAGAGAGAAAAAAAGAGAGAGAGAGAGTCGCTTTTGTTTGTTTTGTCGGGCGATGTGCCAGGCGCCTTCTGCCAGGACCCCATCGCACTGTGTCGGCCTGGCTCTGGTTTCAGCAGCGCACACTCCGCCAGTGAGCAGATATATGTGGACTAATCGCTCAATATCTGCAAAAATCCATTCTAAACTATAGCAAGCATCTCTAACCCCTAACCCTAAGAAGAATTTCCTTTCACTGAACCACCACAGAATAAGGAGGTCAGTCCTGTCCAGTGTTGAGTGTTATCTGTCCGCATTAACGGTGAAGTACCCAACTTTTTCATTTAACACTAGGACTCCCAGAATTTATAATCTACTAACTGCTTCCATTCACTTCTTCCCCAAAAAATTTTCCACCAAATTCATTAAAAGTAAGTTTGTAAAATCCCTATCCACATTTTGGACTACATATTAATCAAAAGGTTGGAGTTCAAACTGGTCCAAGTTCATCCCAGAATGCATTTTGATTTGACATATCAAGGAACTCATCTTCTTTTCTTGTTCTTTCAGATTAGAGTGTGATGGTCATACTGCATCAAGTGGCT